TTTTTGTTTTTTATTTTTGTTTCAAGTTTCTGCCAAAATATACAGAGATCAACCCTGGTCAAATTTAGCCCTAGCCATAAATAGGTGAAACTCCACTGAATCTGGCCTAAAGTGATATGCCCACCTTGTGGAAATACACCTCCATTGCAAGAAATGTGGAAAAAATGGTTACCTTATTTAAAATAGGCTTTGTGGAGAGAACATCATAGATGGTTGGTAGGGAGATGTTCTGAAAGACAAGTAGATCACAATTGGCTACGTTTATATTAGCTCATGTTTACATACAAAATTACATAGCAAGATCATGCCGAGAACAGAATGCTGAGTACAATGATTATCCTCTTGCTGACTACTTCAGTTGTAAAGTTAAAGCAGACTGAAAAAAAAATACATAACTCCCCAACCATCCTCCGGTCAGAAGATACGTGGGCACTAGAGATTGGCAGGCCAGGCTTTGCTGCAGGTAGGGCAGTTTTGTAGCGTTTGGCACCTGTTAAGTCAGCTGTACTATTTCGCTCATGGATGAAGCAATCCCTATACGTAGTTTAGGACGTGTTTTTATATTCGCAGTTGTACCCCAATCTACTTGTATTGCATAAGAAGAAAAAAATTCAGAAATTTGAGTTTAAAAATGCGAAGTAGTGAGAGCCTCAGGCTAGACCAGGAAGAAGTCTCCCCATTAAACCTAGCAGCAGCTAGCTGAGCTTTATTATACATAAATCATGTAGGCAAATTTGCATCACAAAGCCTTAGTTGTTCCTGTTACCAAGCTAATGCCCTGAACTGCCATGGCTAGTGCAGACCCTCGCTATGGAGGTGGCTTGAGTTCAGATCATTTCAAAATACTAAATTACATAAGTTATTTAAAAAATATTTACCTCTTGCTTTGTCTGGTTCATGCACTTCATTGCAGGTGTTCTACGGTCGTCCAAGACAAGGGGAGCCTTCCAACGATCATAGTTTGTTTCCACCACATACCATGTGCCCCCATTTGCATCAAGGCTTGAAAAGAGATGTAAATTTGTGTTCATTTTCGGTTAAATACTCCACAGATACGGTTAGCATAGGGGAAAGTGTATTTCACCGCCAACACTAGTTAAAGAATTTGAGATTCCTGAGCAGATTAGTGAAATAGGATTATAAAAGCACTTTTTCCTGAGTAAACTAGATACTATATCAAAACACTGCTTTTTGGATTAAAAGCTTTTAAAATCAAGCAATAAGATACTAGAGAGTCAGCTTGCTCTCAAGGAAAAAAAAAAGCCACACAGATGTAGCACACCTATGTCAATGGAATTTGTCTTGCTCTTAAGTGTACTTACTCCCAGATATCCAAGGCAGCTTGTCTGCTACGAGTGATCACACAGCCCTCTCCAGATTTGTTTCCTCCCAGTATGAAGTAAGCTGGAGCCAGTAGTCTTGTTTTAACCAGCTGGTCTTTTGCTTCTTGATAACTAAATAATGCATCAGAGAACAGTCTTGTTGAACTAAATTTTTGTGTGTGCTTTAAGCCCTACGGATACCCAAATATCAATCCGCAAGAAAGTATTTTCCATTATATCAGACTCTTATATTCAATAAGTAAACTTTAATAGAACTACATAAAGTAACAATATTTTGAGTTTGTATAAGTAAAAATTCCCAATAGCAAGCTGCTCATGTTTACAATTTGATTCACTATTTAAAAAGCCTATAGTTTGCTGGGAGAAGTCTCCTGGATAGTCTTCTTTTAACTATTGTCAAGACAAATAGGAACTTCTTTATAACTCATTTGAAGTGTTTTGCACTCCCCCTCATGCATTGCAGTGAAACAAAGCATTCTTTCCAATATCACGACAACAGCCTAACTTGTGCTAGTGTCTGAAGAGGTTTTGTCATTTAAGGAAAAAAGGGCTCATCAAGGACCCACATGCATGCATGCCAGGAAAAGGTTCCTGTTCCAGTTTCTAAAAAGATCTACCACACATTTTCAAAATAGGCAGAGATCAGTTTAATTTTCAAGCTTCTAATAGGAGATAAAAAAAAGTAGTTGGGGAGTTCTAAATGTTAATATCCACAGCACTACCACTATAAACAAAGATCAGCAAAAAAACGTGTTACCTTGTACCATTCTCTAGCACAGTTCTGGTGAGGAAGCCCATCCACATACCATCTCTCCTCCCAAGAATCCACTCAAAGATTCCTGAAAGAAGTCACCAGTTATAACAATTTTTCTTCCCAGACACACACAACCTTATTTCCTCCTGATTTTTATAGTTTCTACATACCTGGTATAATTCCTAGCCTCGGTTTCTGTTCCCCCTTCGCCCGCCCCCCACCCCCCCCCGGGTCTTGTGCGTCTGACACTGACGTGGGGGGGGGGGGGGGGAGAGAGAGAGAGAGAGAAGTCAGCAGGCGCCCCTAAATTTTGAAAACTTTGCTATATATTCAAGCAACAAGTCTGTTACTCACCAATGTAACCACCGTCAAGACTGAAGCGCTCATTCATTGTAAGAGTGAAAATTCCCTGGGAAATAGTAAACAAAATAAGTTAAAGTATCTTTCACTTCATATGAAAGTTAACTAGTTACTGACACTGCAACAAGTAACACTGTACTTTAAGGTGGACATATAGCTGGATTTATAATCTGTTCATGTGTATATTCCCAGAAGACACCAGTGGAATCCATTGAGAAAGGGATTGCAAAATTAGATACACGTGCAGCAGAACTGTACTAATCTAGATGTGGGTTAGACGAGGCTGAACTGGAGATGGATCCTGGGGTTTGTAGTCTACTGTAGATTTTGCTGTTGTGTTAATCCAATGCTGGGGGTCATTCTCCCATCAGACCACTACAGGAGCATCACATCAGTTGCCCGCCAATAACGTACCCGACCTCCAAGTTCACTGCTTCTCCTCTTTTTGGGAATCACAAGTGATCTCATTTTTTGCTTGTTCACAAAGCTGCTCATCTAATTTTTCATTTTTTAAAGCTAAATCTGTGTTGGATACAAGACTGCACGATTCTGAATTTTGAGAGAGTGAAATTTTCTTTTAGCTACACAACCTAGCTTCAAAGTTCAAGTATTTTATGTGGGCAATTTCCTTTTATAATGAAACTGTGCAAATCAATGGCATTTTCCAACAAGTCTCCTTTCTTCTTCCATTCTTTGGAAGCGTACATTTCCATCTCAACTATGAGTAAACTTGGAGGCTACTAACTTGTGTAAAGGGCTCATAGTTACAAAAGATGAAGGACAGTCTCTGAAGGTGACTAATGAACAAGTTTCAAACCTGTTCCTAACTGATCCTTGGAAGGAAGGTGAATTGTGCTCTTAAAGAAAATCTGTGCCAGAAAGTTTTGTAGCATTGCAAACAAAGAATACTTACTGGTTTGATTCCAGACACCATGCCCACATATCCTGCAAAGTTTGTAGACTTAAATACTGTTTTGTTGTTTCTCTGGAAGTCCAGAGTCACCACTAAGGGCTTCAATTCCTGAGTTATAATCCAGGAACTATTTTTTATGTCCCACCTACAGGAGGAAAGTGTGCATTAAGAAAAAACTCTAACCCATGTTATTACACAGACTGCAACATTTAACTATGCATTAATGTACACATGCACCCAATGCAACAGTGTTCCTAATTCCACATTTAGCATTACTTTTAATTCCTTACTTCTAGCTAATCTATGCATGAAGAAAGTGTAAAGCGAATTTATAAAATGCAGTTTATGGGTGAATATATGGTTTTAAAGACCCAATATTGGCCCATACTCAATTGTTCAGTGCCAAATTGGAACTCTACACAATACTTACCCAGACACCTTAACCCTATTATTAAGAGGTCTTGAAATAATCTCAATTGTCATAACAACTGTACCACTTTTGGCAGAGATATTACCTGGAATTCCAGGAGCTACTGAGACTTTTAAAGCACGCCAAAGATGTATACCTCTTGGACAAAGGGTGATCAAATCTCATTGGGGAGGCCACCATCTTTAGTTTAAAGTCTCAGCCATGCCCCTATCTTATACAGACATTGAGAAAGCAAAGACACAATACTATCAGGATTCATTAAAGAGACATAGGGGTTCTCTGTGAGAGCCAAAAGAACCAGAGTTGAAGTTCTTTGTGGGGAGGTTATTGATATTAATCAGGGGGAATTTGAAAGATGCTGAGGAGCACGGATCAATGAAGCTCACACAAAACAGCAGAAGTTCTAGTAAAAATATGGAGAAGACAGTAGTTATGGTTAATTTGTGGAGGTATAAGAAAAACCTAGATAAAATTGACATTTCAGAAATGTAATGGGAGAATAAATTAATGGAATTCTGAAATTCTTGGCTATTAAGACAGTTGGGAGGAAAACTACTGTCAAACAATAGAGCTCAGACTATTCAAACAAAGTGAGTGGAAGGGAACATGATATAGAACAGGGGTGGGCAAACTACAGCCTGCGGGACTGTCCTGCCCGGCCCCCGAACTCCTGGCCTGGGAGACTGTCCCTCCTCCCCCACAGCCTCAGCTTGCCCCGCTCTGGGTGGCGGGGCTGTGAGCTCCTGGGGCAGCGCAGCTGCAGAGCCCGGCCTGACCCGTACTCTGTGCTGTGTGGTGGCAGTGTGGCCTGGCTCCAGCTGGATGGCGCGGCTGTAGTGCTGCCAGCCACCGGTGCTCCAGGCAGCACGGTAAGGGGGTGGGGTGAGGAGGGGCAGAGGCCTGGTCAGAGGGCAGGTGAGTTCCGGGGTGGTGGTCAGGGGTGTGGATAGTGGTTGGGGAGGGAACTGGGGGTTGAATGGGGGCAGGAGTCCCGGGGGGCAGTCAGGGGACAGGGAGCAGGGTGAGTGGATGGGGCAGGGATCCCAGAGGGACCGTCAGGGAACAGGGAGGGTTGGACAGGGCAGTAGTGCCCAGGGAGGGGGGGGCAGATAGGAGGTGGGGGCTGGGCCACGTCCCCCTCCCCTAACCGGCCCTCCATACAATTTACGAAACCTGATGCGGCCCTCAGGCCAAAAAGTTTGCCCGCCCCCGATATAGAATCTATATGGATACAAACACCAGATCATTAGAAGATATATAATAGTGAGTAGACTACCAGCTTCTGGACAGAACAGAGATTGTGAATGCTGAGAGAGGTCAAGAAAACAATGACTAGTACGGTAATATCGGTTACCCAAATATAAACTGAACTATTTAGAGAGACATTTCTCAGAATATTACAGTTTAATCTTTAGTCCATCTGTCTATAAGCAGCAAGGTGGACAGTAGGCCTACTAGGGACATATAACTTCATGAATTATAGTTATTTAAGAATAAAAACTGAAAACAACCTGAAAGAACAGTGATAGCCAAGTTAAATGTATACACATTTAAAAAACAAAGCACACTAAGCAGCACCATAGATAGTTTTAAGAGTGGTAAATTCTCACGCTTGTTCCATACTCAGTTTACTTTTCACTATTTATGTTTTACATTCTCTGAGTTAAGAAAAATATAAACTGGTCAGTTTTGTTTACTGGACTCATGCACTAGCATGTGGCAATATTTGGGATGCAAACTCTCCAAGATAATTTAAAAGAAGATTCCATGGAAACATTTCTACTGATCTTAGGAGATGTAAAAGCTAAAGTCTATATTTGACCCAAGCTATCCTTTTAAGGAAACTAAATTCCAGAGTTCACACTGATGGTGCTGTAGCATGTGTGTGTATACATACATAGGACCATAAAACAAGCAGCAGGAATAATCCAGATGGCATGGTACAAGTGCTTCTTCAGTTCACATGATGCTACTAGAAGAATTAGATATTGACAAAAAACAAACAAACAAAAAAAAACAACACACACAACTTGGTGACCCCAGAGATCCACTCTTTTTCTTTTATATTGTTTCCTTTGTGTTTTGCGCCACAGCAGACTCTGCCAGAGTGAGTTCCATGTGCTGGGACAGAGCAGAGCACACGTGTTTCCAGCAACTATTCACGCCCATTCCCGGGGAGGGGGGGGGCGGGGGGGAGAGAAGAAGTCACTTGTACCATCTATGAGGTTCTTCCATGCTAGCAGGACAAGATGATTTTTTTTTTTTAAATGGAATGACAGCCATTTCTGCTAAGTATGGAATAAGGGTAATTTTACTGCTTGTGGTTAGGAGAGCTGTACTCTTAGCCCGTACTAGTCTTTTTCATTATACCAGAAATATACAGTGAAAAGTTACAGTAACTAGTTGCAACAGTCAATGTGTAAATGTTAAATTAATAGCTTGTACTGAAAAACAGCAAACAGAGTAACATTCAAGCCTAAGTTGCTTTTAGGACTCAGAAATCATAGAATGATTCCAAATAAAGGACAGACAGAAACAAGTACTTACCCAAGAAATAGTCCAAAATCTAAATTTCTAGCATGGTACAGCTTTCCTGGATTTAGAAGAGAAGTTATTTTAATATATTTTTTAAACAGACATGTCTAGGGGGTTACGGCTCTATCGGACTAAAGAAAAACAGGCAAGCTGAACTCATAGCGGATATAAGATTTTATAATTGGATGCTGTTGTGGGTGTTGCTATACCAATATGGATGCTAAGGAAGACCATTCTATATTAAGAATGATTGGGGAGACCAAATAAGCTATTTTTGCCAAAAAGATATTTGGAACAAGCCTGCTTCTAAAGCTTTTCCTTTCTAAAATTTAATGTTTTTTAACCTTAGCTTTTTTTAATCTGATGAAATGTCACTTGTCCCATTGTTTTCCATTTCAAACTGGACTCCAATCCCCAACATTATTTGGACATTAAAATACAATTATCCCAGTTTTCCCATTAATTTTTTTTAAATAAAATGGAATGTTATCAAATTAACATGATAGAACACCTGAATGAATACATAATCGGGTAACTTTAAAAGTGCTGTGTCTTCCTGGAGACTTGGAAAGGCATTTCAACTACCCTAGTAAATCTGAAACATAGGGAAAGTTATAATAGTTTACAGATTGGGCTAGTGTTTCAGAGTCCATGGAATGATGAATACAAAGCAGTTCCAGTTTACTGCTTCAATCCACAGCTATTTGAGGGTTTTGTTTTAAATGAGTAGATGGTCTACTCTGTTTGTAAAGGTGTTTTATGCACTGTAAAAACTCTGAATGTTCATGGGGAGAGTGACCATGCAATATCAGAACTCATTTATAGGAAGGGAAAAAGCAGCAAATGAAATCCTCATGCCATTTGTTCACTTGAATTCACTCTTACCCTCAAAGCTATCACCCATTTGGCTGAGAAATGGAAGACTTCTTTTGAGACAACTCATTAGTGCCTGTGCAGTTTAGGAAGGGGAAAGAATGGACCAAGAAAACAAAACCTGAAACCCAGTCCTCTCACCTAGCAACTGAGAACACTGTGACCATGGAGTGATTTTTTTTTTTTTAATTCAGTAGGTATGAATCAGCCACTTAAAACTATTTGGTTTAGAGTTATATAAATGCTGCCCATCACTACAGTATCTGAGCACCTTCCACATAAAGTACCTAACTTGTACATAGTGCTCTTCATCTATAGATCACAAGGTGCTTTATAGAGTTCAATATCATCATCGCTACTTTCCAGAAGGGGAAACTGAGGCAGGGAGCAGTGACCTTGAGCAAATCACTTCATCCAGCTGGACAACAACAGAGCAAGAAACAGAAGCCAGCAATAGCAAAGTTCATAGTGGACTATTATCAAAGCTCAACCAAAAAGTATTTACACAGGACAAAAGCCATTGCTCCCATAAGATTCACAATAAAAGTGGTTAGGAACAGACTTTACCTGATTTGTCTTCTGCTACTATTGAAGTACATACTGTAAAGATTTCATAGAAGATATTAAACAGAACAATTTCTCCTAGAAAAAAAAGGAGGAGCATTCAATCAAAGTGCTAGACTGTCAATAAAAAGAGTAGCTATTAGAAAAGACGTCTATTGGAGAAAGGAGAATCCTACAGCACTACCTCTCCCCAAAATTTCAATTTGACTTTCTTGGGGTTTGAGTCAATAGTCAGTTCACTTAAAGGCAAGAGCCTCACGAGGTATAAGGAGCTTCAATATCTTAAGAACTAAACTAACATGGGGCTAGATTCTCTTGCACCTATGTGCCCACCCAAATCTGACACTGAAGATACAGCTTTCCTTGTTCAGCAACTTGCATCACACAAAATCTTCAACATAACACTGCTCACGTTGCTTGCACACTGCAAAGATTGTTGGGGGAAAAAAGCACAGATCAGTGGTTCTCCTGATCTGCCTGAGAAAATGGAGTACCCAGAGATCCATTGTGGGTGTCTGCACACACCTTACATCAGCATGTAGAGTACATACGCTGCATGCTCCCCAGCATGGGTATAAACAGCAGTGTAGATGGTGAGGCATTGCTTAGGCAAGTAAAGTCACATCTGAACCCTGTGGGTACGTAACCTACATGGCTCTCTACATGTCTAAGCAGCACCTCCCCCGTCTACAAGGCTATTTTTTAGCAGTGTTGCTCTGGCAGTGGGATGCCTTTCATTTGCACATGTAGCTACATATTGCAGCGTGGATGCGGCCTGCTTTTCACTATGGCATGTAGCTATACACAGCTTTTCTGGGGAGAAAAGTCCCACAAGCAATCCTATCCTGCTCCTTCTGGCATATTGGGAGTGGGTGTAGGGAAAGGCGAAGAACTCTCACCAAAGGAATGCTACAACTTCTAGCAGTCCTAGGTTGAGAGCTTCCATATCTCCCAGCAGAAGATCTGCTTCACAAGGCCATCAGGGAGAGGGCATGGTTGGACAGAAGGATTACAAGTCACAATCTTTCAAGTGTCATTTGCGATCATCATGTTCCTACAGATAACGTTTTAATTTAAAGCATCACAAAGTGTTTCACTAAATTACCAATTATATACTCAATAATTAGGGAGTCAAGGCTAATGTTATCGATAAATGCACTGCAATTTTAAAGAAGGGGGGCAAACAAAACAACAAAAAAACCAACCAACCAACCAACCAGTGATTCAGACATTATAGAACTGAAATGTTGAAATTATTACCCAAAGGAATGCCCGAAGCATTTGCAATCCCTTTGAGCTCTTCATTGAAAGGGTAGGGAAGGGTGGAAATCAGTCGAACCTGGGGGACAAAAAAAAGACTTGTTTAAATTGTAACTGAAGATGAATAATATCTTGGTCTCTAAACAGAGGCGCTTTCCTCCTTATAGTCACATCTTTCTAGGCGGACATTGTAAAACTGGACATTGAATATCTCTGCAAATATTTGAGGGGTTTGTAGAAGAAACTGAAAGGCAAGGAAGCACCTGAAGAATAAAAATTAAGTTATTAAAATTTCTACACTCAAACAATGGAGATGGGCACAATGTCCAGTTAATTTGAGACCACAGACAGTAATGGGGAGAGAAGTATAGTCTTGTCACCATTAAGACCAAGACAAATCCCAGGCACTATTCACAGTAATGCTGATTAGGGGAATCCCTACCTACACCACCCATTCACCACAGAGGCAAATTGGAATGGGAGGAAGTAGGATGGGGTGTAGCCACAGTGCCTTCTAATCCAGTGACATGAGACTGTTGTAAATTGTGTAGGTACAGATCTGGCCTCCTGTGGCTTTCAGGATGAGGCAAGCAGAGTTGTCTAATGTTATGTCTACACTGCAACTAGCAGTGCGCTTCCCAGTCCAGAAGGACTGGCACACTCGCTCTGCTTAAGCTAACATGGCAAAGATAGCAATGTGGTCATTGCAGCCCGGGCTATGGCATGAATTAGCTGGCCAAGTACAAGCCTGCCTGGCCCCCCTGGGTGGCTAGCCCATGCTGCAACATCCACAGTGCTATTTTTAGCACATTAGCTTGAGCACAGCTAGCATATGTGGCCATGTCATCTTGCTCCCTGCTCAGGTCCTGTACCAAGCCTGCATCAACCAGGCTTGAAGGTTTGACCCAAAGAATCTAACTTCTAAAAGCAAGACATAAAAGGCATTTCTGAATCACTAGGACTGTTTCATGTGGGTCTCCTTATCTTAAGAGTTTAAAAAGAATAATCATTTCAGTCAGTCTAGCAGCTGAGGTCTAAAAATGTACAAAGGATAAAAAGGAAATTGCAGTATACACAGACATGTCTCTTACAATATAGATCAGCCGGTTTATCAACCACAGCCACAATTTCTCTTGCTATTGTCCCTTTTACCCTTTGCAAAAGTGCACATAGTAAAATAGTATTTTTAAATCCAGATATTACTGCTACTGCTCAAAACTTTACTGTTTCAATTCAGTTTTGCCACACTTGTGAATTACACAAATACTTCATATATCTGCTAGTCGTTAAAGGGGGAGGGGCCAAAGTTTTGCTGTTAGTCCAAAACAATGGACTCTGATCAAGACCGTTTGGTAAATTCACTAGTGTTGTTGTGGTCAGACACTTATGCCACATTCAATGAACTAAAGGAACTGACTAAGAAGGAGTACAGCACAGCAGAAAAAACAGCACTGCAATATGTTTGTTTTGTTAAAGAGACCAAGTCATTGTCAATCGCGTATGAATTTTCCTACTGGATAGGAAGACTAAGTTCAAACTTTCTTGAATTCATAAGAATTCCCCCAAACAGAACACTTGTGATCATTTTTTCCTCAGTTTAGCATTTGGCTTCAGATAGTTTAGAAAACTTATTTTCGTGAGTTAAATTCTAAGAGTAAGTATCATATCTGAAGTCTCAGTCTCTGGAGAAGTAATAGACTGGGGCTTGGTCTACAC